TCTCTTCAGCCGGGAGTAGGCAATAATTTCTCTGAATCCTCTTCAGTAATGATCGTCAGAGCTTCTGATCTTCCCATAAACAAGTTTCACAGGGAACATGGTTAAGCTGAAGCACAAACCGGACGGGCATCTGGCTCCTTTCTTAAGTGGTATCTAAATACCCTTAATCTATAGGCCCTGGAAAAGACCTCCCCTTCTCTGCCTCCTTCCTTGTGTCTTTTTTTCCCCCTGAGACTGAAATCCTCAAGTGAATTCTTTCGCCAGATTTCTGGGGCAGGAAATTTACTTCCCCGCCATGCAGTACTTTAGAAACTTCTGGGGGCTCCAGCAATTGTCCATTTCTATGGCATGGGCCATGGCTTTTCCCATGAGCTATGTGGGATTTTGTTTTAAAATTATTTAATCACTAGTTAGTTCAATATGTTCACTATACACTTATGTATCTCACTTATGATGATGTAGGTGTCATAAGAGACAAAAATTTACTTCTGCTTCCAAGAAACTTTCAATCTCAAAGTAAAATGCAATAATGGTGCCTACTACATGGTAGAATGTGACAAATGGCTACAAGAATCCCACAGCACAGGAAGCTCGTGCATTCAGTGAGCATTAAACACCTATCGTGTGCCAGACCCAGCCCCAGGCACTGGGATGCAGCTATGTACAAAGTGGACAACATTCCTGCCTACAAGGCGCTTACATTCTACTTGGGGCTGGGCAACATGTTCAACTTTTGTATATTTGGCTTTTAAACAACACACTTTCAAACTTTACACATCGACCTTTTCTGATGACCTGCTGTAGACGGAACTTGGATTTCCACGTACCCACGGACAAGTGAAATGTCTGAGCTATTGCATGGTGTCACACTAATGGAAGTCCAGCTCATTCTCACAGTGTTGGTGCCCTAATTATTTACTAAAAATGAGCAGAAATGAAAAAAAAAAGTGTGTATGCCATTTGTAAGATGTGTAGTTCTCATTAACTTATAATGGAGACAAAGGTAGAAACCATTAGGAAGGAAATATGCATAATTAAAAAACCTATTTAAAATGCTGTAGAAAAATATCAAATATTGAGTTTGATAAAGTATAATTAGGATTTTAAAAATTGATTTCTTGTTTGTGTGAGAGTCGTCTTTCTTATAACATGTGTTGACAATAGCTCAGGCAGGCTTTTCAGCAACAGCCTTTTCCAGGGCAGAGGGCTGGGGGCTGGGTGGGCACTAAGGAAGGACCAGGCCTAGCCCAGCGCCAGTAAAAGGCACTTACCCTTTACTCAAGGACTTCAAGGTAAATAGAATAACAAGCATATTTCTTTGTTATTTTATTTTTAATTTATTGATTTTAGAGAGAGAGGAAGAGAGAGACATCAATTTGTTGTTCCATTTATTTATGCATTCATTGGTAGGTTCTTTTTTTAAAGGTGATTTCATCATAAATCACCTTTTAAAAAAATTTATTGAATTTTAGAGAGAGGAAGGGGGAGAGAGAAACATAGATCAATTGCCTCCTATGCTCAACCTTACGGGGGACTGAACCCACAACTTACAACCTTGGTGTACTGGGCTAACGCTCTAACCAACTGAGTTACTCGTCCAGGTATAACCAGCATATTTCAAAGCAGAGGGGAAAAATAGCTTTCTGAGAAAGTTTTTGTTTAAGTCAGAAAGAGGCAATAAGAAAACAGTAAAAACTCTTCTCCTTCTCAAGACCAGACTGACCTAGAATGGGAAGGTAGAAGGGCCAGAGCCAAGGAGAGAGTGTGAGGCCTGCCTTGCCTGCTCTAACTAGAGGCTTCTCCACTGTCCCTGAAGATAGCCTTGATCCTGCCCCATGCCTCACAAGGAGGCTGGCACAGGATTATTCCCTGTGAATGAGTCAGTACAGGATGACAGCCAGCACACCAATGGGGCAGTGTAGCATTTTGGGGGCCGAGGGCAGCAAGAGCAACTGGAAGCTGTAATAACAGGAACTTGACTTGGTAGTTACTCAGTGGCATGTGGTCTATCTCCTACTTTCCCTCCCACAGGCCCACGCAGCGCACACAGGAGGAAACCACAGCCCTAAAAGCCAGTGAGAGCTGGGCGAGGAGAGCTGCATTTGCTCTGGGACAGAGGCTCCTTCCCCCTTCTTGCCCCGCAGAGGAGCTGAGGGTTGGACTACAAGCCCTGGTCAAAGATTGTAGGAGTCATCTTCGATTGCCCCTCCCTCTCTGTGGTAGCTTCCTTATCGTACTGGGGAGCTGATCCCATGTCTAACCATCAGGACCAAGAACCTCAGTACAGCCCTGGCTGGTGTGGCTCAGTTGGTTGGAGCATCTCTTGCATTGATGCTTCTCTCGCTCTCTCTTCCCTGCCCTCTCTCTCCGCTCTTCTCTCTTCCTCTCTCTAAAATCAGTGAACATGTCCTCATGTGAGGATTTAAAGAAAAAGAACCTTAATACAGAATTCAGCCACCATCAAGGTGGGTAAAAAGGTGGATTTGGTTCCTCTCTGTGAGTTTTTGTGATAAAATAGTCCACATTTTTAACTTTTCATTGTAAAAAATTTTTTCCACAGGCATAAAGTATCCTGCATTGTATACTTAAATGTAGACAATGTTATATGTCAATTATATCTCAATTTAAAAAATTAATTTAAAAAATTAATTTAAAAAACTTTTGTTCAACCATACAATGAACTACAATGCAGTCATTAAAATTTCTAAAATCATTTTACTGAAAACAAAATCCCATACACCTGTCATCTAGATTTAACCATTAACACCTTGCCATATGCAACAGACTGAATGTCTGTGTCCCCCCAGATTCATATGTTGAAATCTAACCCCTACTGTGATGCTATTAGGAGATGGGCCTTTGGGATAGGATTAGTGAGGGCAGAGGCCTCGTGAATGAGATTCATGCCCTTATAAAAGACACAGCAAGAGAGCTACTTCCCCTCTTCCACCATGTGAGGTTCCAGGGAGAAGACAAGTGCCAGGGAACCAGGAAGAGGGCTCTCAGGGGACACTGAATCTGCCAGCACCTTGATCCTGAACCTCCAGCTTCTAGAACTAATACATGCTCGCTGTTTGTAAGCCACCCAGCCTACAGCATTCTGTTACAGTGGCCCAAATGGACTAAGATGCCATATTTGCTTCATTGGGTTTTTTTTCCCCTTAAACATTTTTTTAAAAATTTTTATTGAATTTATTGGGGTGACATTGATTAATAAGATTATGTAAGTTTCAGATGTACAGTTCTATAATACATTATCTGTATATTGTATTGTATGTTGACCACCCCAAGTCAAGATCCTTAAAACAAATCTCAGACATTGTATTTTGCCCCTAAATATTTCAGTGTACCGTGTTTTAAAGCATGAGTACATTTTCTTGTGTAACCACAACACTGTTTTCACACATATCAAATGAACAATTCTTAAATATTCTGGAATAGCCCAAATTTAGATTTTCCTGATAATCCCAAAATGTCTTCTTATAGTCAGTTTGTTTGAATCAGGATCCAAACAGGGTGCACACATTGCATTTGGTTGTGATGTCTCTTCAGCTGCTTTAATCTAGAGGATCATTTTGTAGTACTTACCAATGGGTTCTATAACGAATCTCTCCGAGTGTACTCTGAGGCCCCTCCCTAGGGCTCTAGGCCACTGGGACACTGGGACCAAGGTCTGAGAGAATCAGCCCTGGCATGGAGCCAGAAACGCAGATTTGCAAAATTCCAGGTGGAGACCATGATATTTGGGGAAAAGTATGATGCAGTTTATGTCCCCTGACTCCAGACAAAATACAGTTTCCACCTGGAGGAGGGAGAGAGACGAGGGACCCTGGGGTAGAAGCAGAGCCGAGAGGGAGAGCACCCCGTACACCCTGAGACCAGGCAAAGAGGATCCATTCCTGGCTCGTGCTGTGGAGCTGGGCAGCCCCCCTCCTCCTCTGGTGAGCACAGCCCCTGGCAGTCTCCCTTTGTTTGTGCAGTGGGAGGGCCACCCATTTCTGCTGGGAAAATTTGGCAGTCAAAGGCCCACCACACGGGAAAGCCCCTTCATGAGGAGTGGGGCCCTGGCTACCTGGAGGCTTGGCGATGCTTGGAAAGAAGCCCCTTCCACTTCCCTATCTTCCCCTTCAACCTGGCCAGCACCGTGCTGAGGTCATCTACACAGCTGGGCATGGTGACACGTGCCTTTCCTACATCTTCATAGGGCTGCCTGGTCACTGGCATACTCTTGAGCTCCTTCTGAGAGTTCAGCCATATAACTAGGCTTATTTCCCCCAAATCTGAAACTTTGACCAAAAGAACAGCATTTCTTATTGGGAGCAGGGAGCGCCTGCAGCCTGAGCTTTGTCCCCTAGTACAGTATTTCAGCTGAAACTGTGCCCTGGACCTCTTGGCCCAGAGCTAACCATGTTGGTGAACAGAGTGGAGAGGGTGTGAGCCAACACCCAGAAGACAGCTGTGCTCTTGGCCTTGGCCCTTGCAGAGTACTGGCTGCTTTTCCGTTTGTGCCTGTGTGAAAACTTCCTGAGAAGCACGTTTGGGGGACATTCATCTTCTTTGATGACCCAGTTAGTGCTCTTCAGGCTCTTGTCTCTTTATTGGCTTTGGTGGCAATACACAGGACAAGCTTTGCTCTCAGAGAGGCCTCCCGTGGGACCCACAGGGGTCCTGGCTGTACCAGGGTGGTGGGAACTTGTCGATGCTGCTCTGCTGGCCTCCACATGCAGCACGGAGATCTTGGCAGCTGGCAGTCTGGTCTGCATCTGATCAATTTTATCTGCAAAGCATTCAGAAAATTTCTCCCCAAAGAACATGTTGACCCTCTGAAGGAGGGATTGCAGTGTGGGTCGCTTGTTTGAAGACATTCTCAGTTTTGATGAGGCTTGTGCAGAGACCCCAGATAAGCCTCAGAACGTGAGCCAAGCGGGTGGGGAAGAGGCTCTCTGGTGACACTCCGCATCTTCCCCTGCCTTCCATTTTACGTGTTTACCAATTGTGAAAGCAAATCCAGCTGTTGGGAGGAATTGCTTCCAGATGACATTATGGGAAAGGAAAACACACTTTATTAAAAAGCTGCAGAATAAAAAGCAGAACATGTACGCTCTGTGGGCCAGGATTTCATATGGACTATTTCCTGATGTTGTGCAATAAGCCAGCTCCTGGGGTAATAATAACAGAGCAAATATTCCCTGTGCTCGAGTCAGGAGGCAAGAGCTGGGACTGGACGTGGCAGAACTGGGAGAAAATCACTTGACCTCGCTGGCCACCGTATTTTTCTCCCTCTCACAAGCTGCTTCCCACCTTCGCTGGGGATCCCTGGGAAAGCCTCAGGAAATACCTCTGTATGCTGAATGATGTGAGAGAAACCATGGAAAAGTAAGGACATTTTGCTTTTGGAAATGGGATATGTTTCTCAGCCCCCCAGCACAGAAATGTGCTGTGTTGGCTTTCTTAAAGATTTTAGAAGCTCTCTGGCGAGCCGGAATTAAAGTGTCCCTTTACTAATTTGGTTTTACAGGTCACCGGATAAAGCCTACTTAGGGCGGGTTGGGAGAGGATTAGGACACCGGCTTCCCTTCTTAGTTGACTTTCCAGGCAGGGTCAGTCAGCAGCTGGAGGCTCTCTCGGCTCGGGGCCAGCGCTCTTTCGTAAGCTGCAAGTTTGTAAGGGCCTGGTGAGAACACTGTAGCTCTATTATCCAAGAAACAGAAAGTTTGCAGGGGAATGGGCATGTAAATGTATAAAAGCAAGGCACACATTGCCAAGTTTGCGTGCAGGAGAGAGAAGGCCAGAAAGACCAGCATTACAATTCCCCTGGACAAGGGAAACGGCCAAGACCATCGAGTTGCTCTCTTAACTCTTCTGGGGCTGAGTAGGCTGCAGAAGCTAGAGAAAGGAATCTCGTAGGCTGCCGGTAGCCACTAGCCACATGAACTACAGGAGACAGTCCAGATCAAATGAGCATTCCCTCATATACTCAACACACACGTATTCAGCGCCGCCGCGGGGAAGGAAGCGTACAAAATCTCTGCCCCCATGGAGTTTATATTCTAAAAGGAAAGATAAACAATAGACAATAAACAGAACGAGTCACTTTTTCTATCAGTTGTGGCCCTAGCAGGAAACAGATGACACACCCCACTGGCTAATGGAGAGGAGTTTAACAATGGGAAGGTTCCCCAAGACCTAGGCAGACTTCAGGGAAGCAGGCAAGGAATGGTGTAGCAACCAAGGATGCCCCACTGTGGGGAACCACCACCCGTGCCTACCCCCGATGGCGTAGGAGGAGAGGCGATCACCAGAAGCCAGTGAGGGCACCTGTGGGAGGGGCTGTGGCCTCTGCCAGGGGGACCTGGCCAGGCAACGCACACAGGCGGGGAAGGAGCCTAAGGGTTCCCACCCCACTCTCCTCGCTTCTCAGAGCACTGCCCACGCTTCCCACTGGCCAGCCCCCGGGAAGCCACTGGCAGGAAGTCCCCTGGGGCACAGAGCAGGGTGGACAAGAGTGAAGAAGGAACCTGGAGGGACAGACAGACATCTAGCATCCTCTGCGGTCTGTAGAAGGCAAAGGCAGGAGGAAGAGGAGCACGTGAGAGGAACGGATGCTGGGGCAGGGAAGCCAAGTAAAACAGATGGCCTGAAGTGCAGGGTATCCTTCACTGGCTCTCCCCCCACCCCCTTCTCCGTTTTCTTATGACTATGTCCTCTCCTCCAGGTCCTTCTGTCATCTCCGTGCTTCTGCCACTTGTCCCACTGGGCACCATCACAAGTCCCTTGGAGCCAAACCAGGGCACCTCTGCTGAACTTTGGTAAGTCTCTGTGCCCTGTTTACTTTAGGAGCACAGGTGGGGCAATATTTTATTTTAAATTTTAAATAAACTTTATTTTTTAGAGTAGTTTTAATTTTACAGAAAAATTGGGAAAGTAGCACAGAGAGTTTCCATATACTCCACACTCAGCTTCCCTATTAGCACGGTACAAAGCAATCATGATCTAGTAACTAAAGTCGACATTGTATTCGGATTTTCTCAGTTTTTCCATCAACTGGAGAGGTCTCCATGCCCACTCTCCCACTCCCTAGCCCGGCTACCTGTTTCTCTAATCCCCTTCCAGGTTTTCAAAAGCTAATAGAGAAAAACCATAAAACGGAGGTGAGTTTTGACGAGAGAACACACAGAAGCACTGGTTACAAAGCAATCTACACACTGAAGGTATTATCCGTAGTCTCCTATCCAGCTCCTCAGCTCCTTAGCACTCCCCTCTTTGAAGCCATCTCTAGAGTTCCCTTAGGCCCTTCACTCAGCTGCCCCTAATGTTAATATCATACCATGGTACAGTTATCCAAACAGAGAAACCAACGGTGACATAGATATTAACTCTTCTACGGACTTTATTCAGATTTCACCACTTTTCCCACTGTTGTCTTTTTTCTGGTCTAGAATCCAGTCCAGGATCCCATGTTGGATTTGCTTGTCATGTCTCCTTAGTCTTCTCCAATCTGTGCCAGTTTCTCAGGCTTTCCTTGTTTTTCCTGACCTTGACACTTTAGAAGAGTATTGATCATGTATTTTGTAGAATGTCCCTCAATTTGGGTTTTGGGCCTGATGCTTTCTCATGACTAGCCTGGGGTTATGAATTCTGGGGAGGAAGACCCCAGAGGGGAAGTGCCTTTCTCATGACATCGCGTCAGGGCTTCATATGTGAACATGACATTCCAAACGACGTTAACCTTAATCACTTGGCTGAGGTGGTGTCTGCCAGGTTTTGCCACTGTCAAGCTGCTAACTTTCTTTTTCCATCTTCCACTTGTCACCAGTAAGTCATTACATCCCGCCCACACTCAGGGTATAGGAATTAAGTTCCTTTGTGGAGGAAGGAGCATCTGAGAATTTGTGGACATATATTAAAAAACTGCCCATGTAATTAATTAAGATTTGGGGGTAGATGCTTTGAGGCAATACTAAGATCCTGTTTCTCTTTAATGTCTCACCCACTAATTTTCCCATTCCTCTGTGCATCTTGCTTGTGGCAGTTATTGCTGTGGGGCTCGAATGATTTTCTGCTTACCTCATTCCTTCTACATTTACAATTTGGATCCTTTAGTAAGGACAGTTTGTTTCTTCTACTTATTTATTCATGTATTCAATCATTTATTTATATCAATATGGACTCATGGGTTTTTATTTTTTCTTTGAGCTATAATCTAATGCTATTGTTACTCATCTGGTTGCTCGGATTGTTCCAGTTTGGACACTGGGAGCTCTTTCAGGTTGCTCCGATGTCCTTTCGACATGCCCATCCTTTTTGTGTTTTGCTTTGTTTGGGCACTGCTTTACTGTCACTATAAAATGCCCGAAGCTACACTGTATTTTCTTTTTTTTGTTAATCCTCACCTGAGGATATTTTTTCCATTGTTTTTTAGAGAGAGTGGAAGGGAGGGAAGAGAATGAGAGAGAGAGAGACACACACATCGGTTGGTTGCCTCCCACACCCTCCCCAACCAGGGCCAGGGATCAAACCTGCAACCCAGGTACGTACACTTGACCAGGAATTGAGCCCGAGGCCAATGCTCTAACCACTGAGAAACACCAGCTAAGGCAGCTTGTATTTTCAACCCTGGCTGCCCTGGCCTAGAATCTACCATTTCCCCAGAGGGCCCCCCAAAGTATTTTAAATTTCTCTGCTGATGACTTTATTTAGGGCCTGCTGCTCTGCCGGGATCAGAATCCTTTCCTTATAGGCAACTTTCACAGTGGCCAGGACGATGATCCATTGTCCCTGCCTCGGCACTTACTAGTTATGTGACTCAGTGTTCTCTTCCATAAAATGGGACCAATCACACTTCCTTATGGGGTTTGTGTGAGGATGACTGTGATGAAGTTCACAAGCTTGCCCTCAGTATTCAATAAATAGTTTTGATGATCATGAAATGCTGCTGCTTCTGATGGGGGAAACTGGTTTTAAGGGCATGGGCTTGAGGCAGACTGCCTGGCTATGTAACCTTAATAAAACTCTGTGCCTCAATTTCTCATCTGTAAAATGGGAATAACAACAGTAACTATCTCATAGAGTTTTTGTTGGATTAAGTGAGTCAATACACACAAAGCATTCAGAACAGGGGTTAATATATAGTAGCATTTGTTCACTGTCAGCCATTATTGTTTTTGTAATTATTATTTTAGGCTGGGTCACATGTTCCTTTGATGTTGACCTACTCATGGTTGGTATGCCAAGAATTAGGGTAGAAAAATTAAACTATTTAGGTTTTTTTAAAATATGAAATTTAAAGGTAATAGATGGCTAACAGCATATAGTTAAAATCCTTAGAAGGAATATAGCCAAATTCAAATTCGCAACTAGTTTGATCACTGTCATGTGCTCCTGACATTTTGTCCTTTGAGGTGTTGACAAATGGCTGAGAGAATTACTCGATTCACATTTGCCTCGCAGTGATGCATGAGGCCCAAATGGTCGGCAGCATTGGGGAAACTCTTTATAAATCCATCAAATTTGGCCATTAAAAAATGATAACTATGATCAGCCAATGCTGAGGGACCCATTTTGTAGAAGAAAAAAAAAGTGGAACCAACACAGTTAGTGACACAATAATTAGGACGCAGGGGAGACCGTTGACAATTTGAAGATGTTTTCTTGGAGAAAATAACAACGTACCGTTTGCAGGACATTAATAGATAATTAAATTGGCAACTTATTGCTGCAAAGTGACAGTTGTGCTCCTCTCCTCTATGCCCACGGAGTAAAGCATGCCAAGCAATGCCTGCCCTGTCTTCACTGTAGGACACAGTGTCATGAAAACTCCTTCCCTCCTGCTGAAAACCCCAGAGAGTCTTCTTGTCATAATTGTTAGGATTTTTCTTACTATCATTTTAAAGACCCTTTCAGGGTCTCATTTCCCATTCTCTCACTCAGCTCAGACCCCAGTCTCCTTCAGCCCTCAGAGCACTCCTTGACACAGGCTTAAATTATTCACTGCATGGATGTTTCCCCAACCACAGACATTTGTGAACAGCCTTTGTGATTTTGCCTTATTCACAACCATATAGGTTATCATTTCTTTAATATTTTTCTCTTAACAAACTCACGTTTGAAAAGCATGAATGCTTGAGCTAGCCTCATCCTGACCAACAACATCCATGGTGATGATGATGTCAGCTGACCTCAGCTAGGGGGAGTCTTCCCTCTTTATGAGGAAAACCCCACTGTAACCTGGCTGGGAACAGGAGTGGAATGGACAAGGGCCTCTAGAAGAAACCAGGCTCTCTTCATGAAGCCAGTTTTCTTCAAAATAAGATGACGCTGGCTGCAAGTCCTTCTAACAGCAAGGGACACATTTCTCTTCACTACTGACAAACATTAGAGTTCACCAGGTCCAAGAGGATGAAAATGAAAGTGGCTGGGAAATGTGAGAGTGCAGGATGTTAAATAATCAAGAGTTTGCAGGGTGGAGGCAGGCAGTGGGTCTTGCAAAACCATCTCAAGGATACTGTGGTAGGTGGCTCACTATATTAGGAGGGGCCCCTGTGTATAAGGAAGATAGGAGTCTTTCTAGGTAAAGGCTTAATGCTGACAAAGATGTTGAATTGCAAACATTTGGATCCCACCAACGTTAGTACAACAGTAAAGTTTTTACTGGGGTATAACATGCAAAGAGTGAAGCAGTGAGAAGGAAGGCTGGAGAGGACCTTGTTTGCAAGGCAAGGTAGTTTCAACTTGATCCTAAAGATGGTGGGAAGCCCTAAAGGACTTCAATCAGGGAGTGATGTGAACTGCTGTGTGTTCAGTCATTCTGGTGGTACTGTTCTAGCTGTCTTCTAGAAGACTGCAGGCAGGAAGAGAGTGATGTTAGGGTGGTAAGTGATGCTACTACTGAATGCATGGTCCAGAGGAGACATGAACTACACCGAGGTTGTATGGCGGTGAACAGGAGACAGACTGCTGAGATCAAACTGACCCGATGTGGGCGATGTAGGAAGAAGAGGAGCTTATGATGATGACTCCTGGGTTTCTAGCGTAGGTAACAGACATCATCACCAGGAACAAGGATAGGCGAGGACAAGCAGGATTTGGGATGAAGGTGATACACTCAGTTATTCACATGATGAGTGTGGGGACTCTGTGGGATCCCTTTTGGAGATGTCTTGTCTTTGGACATATTGTGGACACACTGACCTAGAATTCAGGACAGAGGAATGGGCTTGAGAAACAGATCTGGGTCCTAGTGTCCATGTGATAATAGAACCTGAGGGCATGGATAACCTCATCCAGGAAGGAAAGCAGGGGTTAACTTTTTTTATTTTTTTATTTTTTATCCTCACAGGAGGATATTTTTTCCATTGCTTTTTTCAGAGAGTGTGGAAGGGAGGGAGAGAGAGAGAGAAACATTGATGTGAGAGAGACACATTGATTGGTTGCTTCCCACACTCGCCTTGACCGGGGCTGGGGATTGAGTCTGCAACCGAGGTATGTGTATACCCTTGGCCAGAATTGAACCCGGGACTCTTCAGTCCGCAGGCCGACGCTCTAACCACTGAGCAAACATGCTAGGGCAGAGGTTAACTTTTAATAATACAAGGGAGGAGAGTGAGGAGCCCACAAAGGAGACTGAGAAAGGGTAGTCAGAGAAATAGGAGAGACACACAGAATTGGAGACAGGATCGTCTCAGAAAAGGAAGGGTGGGTAAGTAGTGTCAAATGTTTCAGAAAAATACTGAAAATTAACCATTGAGGGTTTGGCCAAAGAAAAGGTATTAGTGACCTTAATAGGAGTTTTTTCTGTAGAGAAGGTGAG